CATAGTGATCATTCAGCAATCAGCTGACTGGTATTGGTTTGTGTCCTGACTAATTATGCGCAGGACTGTATTCGACCGAACTTAAATCTTGAACACAGGCTTTTGAGCGAACTTGAAAATGTAAACAAGTTCGTTGAAAACATATGAGTTTAAGTAGGTCTAAAAGCAATCTTGTGCCTTTAAGGCGCATTGAAACGCATAAAAACCATGTCAAAAGTAAACTTCAGGATAATGATTACATTGTAACCAAAATTAGATTATCAATGCTTAATTGTCTCAAAACCGTGTACGAAATGTAAATGAAACACCAATTATTTTGTATTGAAACCCATCAATTCATGAATGCTTGAGTTTAGCCATTCCGGTTCGGCATCTCTTGGATCGCCCCTTTTGACACATTAATCAACTCAAAGATACTAAAAAGTTTCAAATACACACATCCATCCGTCTGAAAGTTGCAATTCAATATTGCTCACATGCATTCGAATCTTCAGTTTTTTTCTTCACTCTCCCGTATCCCATGCATGAATATACATTGGAAGGCTTCAAGCAAAGGCACCGATACGCCAATTCAAATTAAGCAGATTTAATTGAGAATGCGTGCATCTACGCACAAAGCGTTTCGATATTCAAATTCAAATTCAAATCTCTGCGTAAAGAAAAAGTAGAAAAACAGGCACAAAAGCAAACAAAAAAAAAAAAAAAAAAAGAAGGCAAAGCGTAAGCAGAGGAATCGGAATCATGTAATTAATTTGAAGTGTAGGCTGAGGGTGTGTTTATGTGTGCCAGTCTGTGTGGCATCTGTGGCGTGCGCCAGACATTTCAAGTGCCCACTGGCGCTGCTAGCTGCATGCAACAGTGTTGCAAGCAAGTGGGCGCGCAGTAGCCAACAAACTGACGCGCTCTGCACACGCCGCTCCAACGCCCAGTCTACGCGCTGATGCAAAACTTTTATTATCACAAACTTTTTCACCCGCTCATTTCCATTTTAATTGATTCAGTTCAAACGGAGCACAGCAACAAAATGTGAAATAAGAACGCAAAACAAACGAAAAATACACGAAATCAAAGCAAATGAAATTATAGTCACACTCAAGCGATTGATTAACATCGCGTAGAGAAAAGAGCACGAAAACAAACAAAAAACAAAAACAAAAGAGTTAGTGCCGGCTGCTATGTGTGACACAAGGAGTGTATCCAGCGGTATAAAAGTACCGTTGGGCGCCATCGGCACTTAAGCAACAAAAGTAATGCCTCCGATAATCGTGCTGCTGGAACGTCCCATGCCAAAATCGCTTTGTTGTAACGACTGCCACTCACAACAATTGCGAGAAAAGCGGAACTTTCATTGTTATTGTTGTTGCATTTGAAGAAAAACATATGCCCACGCCGGTCTGTTTGCCGCTCGCGCTAAGTTTTATGGATTTTCAAGTGCAATTTGATAACAAAAATTTTAATTGATCATTATGCCTTGTACGACAACGCTTTCGGAAACAGACAAATGTAATGCGGTCGCTGATGGGCGCAATGAACTCGTCTGTTGGCAGGCGACCGCAAAATAAATAAACAAATGCTGAATTTGTCTACTCGAAATGTTTTCGTAAACAAATTAAGATTTTTGTTTATTTTAGAAAAGTTGTTGGTAAATAAATAGCGTTAATAATTAGCTCAATGTCAGGCGCTACGCTTGTAATTTTTATAACATCAGAGTCAAATTAATTTAATGGTAATTGATTAGGTTAATAGACAAGAAAAAATTATACAAATTATAACAAATTTCGTTCGGTTACTTTTAATGAGAAAATATAGTGTTTAATAAAGTTGCTAATTGAGCACAATTATATCACAAGAAATTAAGATTTTAAGTTTAAAATAGTTAAAGTTGAGGTTATCAGGTTTTCAAAACTACCCTGTGAATCCTTAGGTATTCGACGATCGTAATGAGATTTTGCTGAAGAAAATATTCAAATAAAATTGTGAATATTTCAAATAATTCCTTAATTGAGTAAATTAGCAAATTTTGTGTTCAAGTGCACATAATTTTGTTAAAACGCCACAAAAAAAATTTACAAATTAATTGAAACAATTACAAAATAATTTAATGATCACAATAGCGTTTCAAATAGTTCACAAATTTAGTGAAGTATGAAAATTTCCAACCAAACACAATTAACTAATTGCCAGAATTAATGAGTACTCTTTCAAACGCTTGCTATAAAGGAGAATATTTCTTTAAAGAAAGTCTCAAACACTTATACTGACACAAAATTCGGGTAATTTTTATATAATTGACACAATTAACGCAACACCACTACTAATTATTTAATTTAGGATATGTAATGCCAGAACTAATTGAAAAGAGCTATTGAATGCTATTGGGAATGCCGCTCATGAATTTTTAACTTTGAAGAAGTGTGGTTTCTACAAGCATTGTCAAACTAAAATTCTAAAAAAAACGTAATACGCTAAATATGGAAACAAAGCAGTATATAAAAGACCAAAGCAGCATGGATGCAAGCTTCTGCTCTAAGTGTAATTAACGTTTTTATGATAAAGCTACTCATTCCGATCACACTGACTGCTAGAGGGAATTCTACTTTGATTTCTTAATCTAAAGAAAGGGTGGTCAATTTGATAGTCTCTAAAATAGTGGACGAATCATATTAGCTTACATTCGGTAAACTCTTAAGAATTCGTGCTTTGGAACTATTTTCTCTGTACTAAATTTGTGATGATATGCTCGATGAAAACAGATTGTGCATTTAAAAATATAAACATCGTTAACTACATATGAGGGGTGTTCTGAAAATAGAGAATTCTAAAATTTAAGATTCCGCGCGGTTGGAGAGTTCTCGCCAAAAACAATAATTTCACCATAACCCAGCTTTCGCATTAGCCAAACAGACTTCCGTGTAACTTTCTTATTGACAAAAGTAGAAAGATCTTTAAAATGCCATCGGACTATTTTGAAGGCAAAAACATTAATGCGGAAAAACGAAAACGGTTTTCAAAAACTAAAACTCCGGTTAGTTTTCCAACACACATCGTAAATATTCAGAAACCAATTTAAGTTCGAATATTAGAGACTTAAAAATAACAATAAAAAACAACTTCGAATTATTCTCTGCAATAACCTGTCCGCTCAAGGAGGCCTTGAAATATACCTTACTTGTAGAAAATCTAAAAAAAACAAAAAATAGCAATCCGTGATGACAACGAACAAAAGAGGTAAGGTTAACTTTTATTATTCAACTGCCAAGTTGTTTTTTTCTTTTAGGCTACAAGTCACTGTATATCCCTATAAGGTTATGTTATCATTAAAACTCCTATAAACAACTAACTTCCAGAAAAAAATTTTTTTCACCGAAAGTTTGGTGTTTCTCTTTGAAGACCTAAATTATGTTTAGGTAGTATATATAGTTAGAGGTAATGGTACACTATTAGGAACCTCTGGTTAGATGCTACTATGCTATTTAAGAACGGCTACCAGTTTTTTTAGCCTATTTTAAATCCCATTAAAGTATTAAAAAAATTTAATAAAAATGCAAATAGTTTTCAAACAAAATTAATTATATGCCATGGCATATGATTGAAGGGTAACCAACTTTTGTACCTTTTAAGGCACATAGGATAGTAGAGTTTTCATATATACATACTATATATGTATATATATTATATGAAGGCAGCTAACTTATTTTGTAATGAAATTACAATGTCTGCACTTACCTTAAACATTAGCGGATTGCGATCAATTTCAGCTTCGGCGCTCTCACAAAGTGATTCAGACTCGGAGAGAAAAGCGAGGAACTTGGGAAATTGTAACGAAAGTAAAAGTCAATATTTAAAATAATATAAAAGCAGAAGTGTTTCAAGGCACATACTTGATCCATGGCGCGATCGAACGACTGAAGACTGTGCACAGCGGCGTGCAGTTGCTTGCCACGATTGATGACGCCATTGTTCAGGTTAGAATATCTGTAAAGAAAGCGTTTGACAGTTATAATATAACAAAATGTTAATATTTATTATCATAATATCATATTATCATATATGTATATAATATCATATTATTATAATAGACAGGCCTTCTCGAACTGTGGTGCGATTGAGCAAAGCTTAATTTTGACCCACAGAACACAGACTGTACGGAAGTGCAACACGATGTGCAAGAGAGAGAAAAGTGTGCAGAGGAATAAGTTTTATAACAGTTCCTTTTGCCCTCTGCCATATACATATGACATATCATTTATTATGGCGAACATGAAAAATTGGCTTCTATGCATGACTTGAGTGTGAGTCAAAGAACTTGAGTGTCTTCACATAACTTCACGCTTAATTATCTCTGAGCTAACATTTTATGCGAATCAAACTCACCTTTGATTAATAGTTTCCGTCATCTTCTTGATGCGCGTAGTGTCATCTGATGGATAAACAGCAATCAATTTTTGCGTCAAAGCGTTGAAGAGCTCAAATTGCTGCTTATTTTGATGCAACTCGGCGTGGAAGGACTTTATGGAAAAGTAAAAAGGAAAAAATAAATATAAATTATTTTAAATAGTATAAACGCACTGCTTGGCACTCACCTTTTGCTCCTTTTGTTGCGCTTCCAAAACATCGGCGGTGGTCGCGACACTGCCCATACGCTCGGCGCGTGCCTCCATGCGTGCCAACCACTTTTCCAGCTCCAAGCGCTTGGTTTCATAGCTGAAAGTTTTTGTATTAATTAAAATTAGTTCTAGCAAATTTCAACGCCTCACTCACCGCTGTGAATCGCCGAGCATATTCTTCAGTTGGGCGGCGCGTTGCATCACACACTGCGACGTGTCATCCCAGTGTTCGCGTAAGCGTGTAACTATGGATTAAAAGCGAAAACGGAAACAAATTTGCAGATTAGAAAAGCTTTTGATGTAAGCTAAGTTGGTTAATTGAATAAAGGGCTTGTATGTTACTATGATTATTAAAAAAAATTATTACAAATTACAACACATGTGAGTACATAAGAAATAAAATAAATATATATGTGTAGTGTAGAGCTTTCACCAGCTTTCGGTATGAAAGCTCATTTGAGTGTAAGTTACGTAAATGAAACTTTGGTTTTAGGCAAATTAAGCTGCGTGTATTTTCAAAGCTTTCTAACATAAAGGAGCATGTGAAAGCTATTTGTTACTCTTTCTATAATGTATAATTGCTTTCCGGTGTTTAGTGCTTTCACTCTTTATTAGATTGATAAATCTATCTTTTATTTATATTATCAAGAGCCTAAGCGCTTTCACTTACTTTATTATACCAGTGTATGAAGTTGTTGTTATTAGTTGCTTTTTTACACTATAAGGTGCTTTTCATTAAAGTATTGCAGATATGCAACATTGATTACTTATTTTTTAGAACCTTGCCAACTGTGCTTCCCAGGGTAAATTATTTCACCGAACAATCATGCAAATTTATTTAACAATAATTGTTATAAACATATTCATGAAGTTGTTAAGATAAGTATATTTTTATAACCAGAGCCTGGAAAGTAAGGGAACACCACGAGGTTCTTGCAATGAATGAGTTCTGTGTTTAGTGTACAAAGTCAGCAGAGTAGCGACTTAGAGGCATTATTTCTTAATTATATTTTATTTATTTTTTTTTTATTTTTTTATTAATTTTAGTTTGTGCTGTGTTAGCTATTTTAGTTATTACATTTCTTTGGATTAACTGGCATGGTATTAATCAACGACATTTATTTTGGTTTGTTAAGTTTTGTTTTCCTTTCAGAACTTATTCAGTTAAATTGCTTTTCTAATTTTATTGCCCATTAGCTTTACCTTTCAAACAACAACGCATATAATCCAAATCTGCTGCGCAATGAGGGGCAAGAGAAAATTGCTTTAGCTCTATGTAAAGGATAAGAAACAAAAGATTATTTTTGGTTTTGAATCTTAAGGAAATGTTCAAACGAACAGCGTTAACCGCAAATTTAATACTTATAGTAATAGGGTTATAGGGTTATCGAGAGACAATTATCTTTTTCTCAATTGGAAATATCTCTTTTCAAAAGCTAATAGTAAGGTCATTTTGTTTATTTGCCGATTCACCATTACTAACTGTTTCGAAATTTGTGTCCAGTTCTTCAAGCAAAGTCAACAAATATCTCTTCCTTTACTGGGCTCTACATTAACCAATTAGAAAGTTTTCAAACTCGAATATGTTCATTTCAAGCACTTTACTAGACCATCAAAAACTCATTAATTTAGCAAATTAATTAACTGTATTGGATAATTAATCTTACTTAATTCTCCGTTTAATTTTCTTAGCTATTTGAGCACATTAACATATTCTAAGGTTATTCAAAGAATTCAAATTTACACGATAAATTTAAGGTTGATGGAAAATTCGGAGGAACTACGCGATAGTATTAACAAAAAAAAAAAAAATAAACTAGTAATAAATAAACTCAGCGCACGAGCCAAACCCGGCTTAACCGCTGCCAAAATGAATCACACCGTCAAAGCACTCTTTCCAGCACACGATAAAAGGACCACAGAACAGACCCTGAGATTTCTGCAATACCCTATTTTACCCACGAAGCGCTGCAACTAGCCACCGGCATTATTGAAGCCCGACTATTGCTTGAACCCTGGAAAAAGTAATAGCTGGTGCTAATCAGTAAGGGAAAACGAGATTCCAACTAGCCAGCAGCGTACCGTGAACTATACATCGTTGACACAGGGGGAAAACTGTATGAAAAGCTGATTCAACACAGACTCGAAGTGGCTATCAACGATGTTGGATGACTCTTCCCTAGATAACATGGCTTTAGACCTGCCAGAACAAACCTAGATGTCCGAAACGCTTTCAACAGCACTTAAAATCTTCCACTACGTATGTTCTTAGGACACAAAAGCATTGTTTATATCCTAGGCGTAAGATTGGACCGCAGACTAACCTTCTGGGTACAAATTCAACACGTCGCAGGAAAGGCTTCTCAACTTAGCACTAATGGCCAACATAGGGGGCCCCAGGCAATGCCGCAATTGACCTTCTGGCATGCGAAAGGAAAAAGCTGTGAGAGCTAAAAGGAAATATCCGAAAATATCAAGAGCGCAATAGAACAAATAAAGAAGGATGCAATAAAAATATGGCAACGAAGATGGGAAAACGAAAGTCGCAGCAGATAGACGGTCAGTCTAATAAAATACCTACATTTATGGAAGTAAGCTTGGAGCAGTCGACATTTATACGACCCAGCTCATATCTGGTCAGGGGTTCCGCAAAAAGTATCACCACAGAATGGGAGAAGTCGAAAAGTCGTCTTGCCTATACAATGATGCGACAGAAGACGACACTGAACGCATATTCTTTGAATGTTTGCAATGGCAACGAGAGCGCAACGCCGTAGAAGTCCTGGTTTGTCCAATAACCGCGGATAGTTAAGCAAGCTGGAGAATTATCCAGAAATTCGCAGTAGTTCTGCTACGCAGCAAAAAGCAGGTCCTGAACGCATGTGTGCAGACGTAAATCTCTGAATGAGCAAAATGGTACGCCACCCTGAAGTAATGCAGATGTGGTTGGAAATTTTACAATATTATTACGCGAATTCATGTTCTCCGTAAAATTACTTTCTCGAGTAAGGCCCATTTCTGAGTTTACTGCTTTGTCAACAAACAGAATTGTCGTTTCTGAGGTGAGTAAAATAGTCGTAGGGTTCAGGAAACCCAAAAATTTACCGATTGGTGCGGTTTGTATTGTGGCATCATCATCGGACCTCGTTTTTTTTTCAAAATGTTGCATAAAATGCCGTTACCATCAAAAAGGAGCATTATAATCGGATCTTTGCCGACTTTTTCGCGGAACTTGATTAGATAGACGCGGATGTTCAACAAAACGCTGAGCCGATTCACGTACAACGTCTAGACATGGACAAGAAAACTCCTAGAAAAGTTAGTAGGAAGTCAGATGAAAGTTTCTTCAAGAATTTAAACTTAAAACGTTAGATCAATGAAACGAGTGTGGATCGGAACTAGGAGCTATCCCTACATATTGGTTTCAGTGCCATTACTGTTTTTCTAAAGATTTTGAACCAATTAGAAAAATTTTGGCGTAATTATTATGAGATGAAATGCCAAGCCAACCATCTCCAGATTTCGGTTGGTTTTGACCGTATAGCTTAATATTGAAGTAGGAATTTTTTCTTTTGCCAAGTGAGCTTACAAAGCCAGCAGAATATTCTTAGGAAAGAATAATACACATTTATATACTTTTGATCGATATTGGCCACAATTTAGGAAGAATCTGAAAAATCAAGTGATCAGTGTAACGATTCTAATAGCAAGAAATAAAATCAAATTCGTAAACTAAAGCATTTAACGAATAATAGATATAACACGAATGTAAAAAAACACAAATTAATCTATTTTTAAGATTTATCTACGAAATAATGTCCTACCCGCAATCCCGCCGCTGGCATTCTGCACGATCTGCGTCTCATCGTGAGACGACCGGCGCCGCATACGTATCTCCTCGCGAGTCAAACCGCCGGCTGCTTGAGCGGCGGCCGCTGCTGCAGCGGCAGCAGCTGCAGCCCGCGACTGTGCTTGATGTTGCAGCAAAGCAGCGGCCGCTGCCGAGCCCGGCGTTAAACCAGTATTATGCATCACATTGCCCGGCACATTACCAAGCAGCTGTTGACGTATTTGCTCACGAAATTCACTGGTCAAGGGCATCGGTGGACCACCACCCCCAACGCCATTACTGCCAACTGCAGCGCCCCCACCACCGCCACCACCTAGATTGCCGGAACCACTGCCAGTACCGGCAGACCCTGCACCGCCACCTACACCAATCATATTCGACTTGCTAAAGTCCTGCGATGCTTGCACGCGATGACGACTGTATTGTAGCTCCAGCGGTAGATTGCGGTCCAAGGAGCGCATATGGTGTTCGATAGTGGAGCGCATAGCATTGTGCTCGGCGCTTTGATTGAGCGCCGTCGCAGAGCCCTGCAACTGCTGTGAGCGCAGCTGCTTCAACTCCTCGAATGATTGTCGTGCGGCAGCGGCCACAGCAGCCACAGCCGGATTTTGCTGCAGTAGACCCAAATCGCGTGCGCTAGTCTCGTCCAGCGACAGATTCCTTTCATATGGTGGCAAGCCGCCGGCTGGGCCGCGCAAATTGAGATTGGTTAGTGGATGACGTATGCCAGCGTTGCCACCTAAACCGGCCTTAAAACTCAAATCGAAATTATTTTGCTGTGCTGCCACCGCAGCAGCGGCTGCTGCTGCTTCCATTGAGCGCAGATTCATTTGTTCTTGCATGGCGCGTTCCATATTGCGTAGACCGCTCTCTATGCCGCGCAATGCATCCTCCGAACCGAAGTCCTCCGTGGGTGATAGACGCGTGCTGGAGGCGGTGGAATTTGTAGCAGCAGCTGCGGCGGCGGCTGCAGCGGCAGCGGCCGCTTTCTTTGCCTCGCTGGCGCGTGTGGGTGCCGGTGATGGCACTGCCGACTTTGGCAGCGCTTCATTGCTGCCCGACAACAGCAATGGTGGATCGAACGGGTTTGAGCTGCGCTTCAACACATCAATTGGCTTCTCTGGTGGCAATGGTGGGCGATCTTTGAACTTTAAACCGGTGAGTGGCGAGTTTTGTGCGCTATTTTGTGCGGAGCTCTGCGCGGAGGCAGGTTTTCTGGGCAGTGGCGGCGGTTGGCGGCCTGGTGGCGGCAGCGGAAAGCCATCTGGTAAGCTCTTAAGACTGTGCCGTTTTGGCGGTATCTCCGGCGGTGGCGCACGGTCGGCAGCGCGTGCCGGTATAGCTGGTACCGGCTTGTTGTGCTGCGGTGGCAGTGGTGGTGGCACGGCGCCCAACGGCTTCGGTGGCAAGTGCATGGTGGCTGCGTTGCAGTTGCTCTGCTCCTCCTGTGAGGCTTGCTTGCGTAGTATTTGCTGTGCGCGTATGGCGGCCTGTGCGGCGAGCTCCGAAGTGAGGCGCGGTATCTCAGGCGCCATTTTGGGACTTTCAGTGTCCGCATTAGCGGCGGGTGGTGGCTTAGCACTCATAACGTTGGTATTTTGCTTTAAATGTTGATTGTGGCGTTGTGCGTTTCCGTTAGCTGATAGTCAAATGTATTACACGGGGTTTGCCGCTTGTTTAGCTTTGTTGTTCACTTTACTTAACTTAACTTAACTTTGTGCGCTTTTTTTGCTGATTTGTTTGTTTTATTTTTGTCAAGAAAACGCTTTAAGTTTCACATTAACTTTAGTTGCTGTTATTTCATTTTACTTTAATTTAATGTGTGGCGCTTTCTAGGCATACATTTAGGAGCTCATACACATCGCTGGTTCAACAATATTTTCTCACGGTAAACTGACACCTTTATTCAAGTTTTTTTGTGTTTTTATTTATTTTCATTTGTTGTTTTTTATATCTGCTTTCTTTTCATTTGTATTTCGCCTGCTTCAGCCAAATAGTACAACCGTTTATGTCAAACAAAAACGACAATAAAGTGAAAATAAACAAACATTGGCGTAAAACCGGTGACAAAAGCAACAACGACAACAAATTAATTGCAAAAGCCAACAATGAAATGCCGCGTGCCACGCGCGGCGCTCAGTGCTTCTCGAAATTGCTTGCTCTCACTCACTTGGTGCCTCTGCTAATCACTCTCACTCAAAACCGTACTCTACTCTCTCTGCGCTCAAACCGTATAATCTCTCTTCACTGCTCTCACTTATTACTCTCACCATGGCAACTTTTATTTCTCACCACACTCCACAAACGCTACCGCGCTCAGCCGGTTTCATTTTAATTTTTTATAGCATACTTTTCGGCTGTCAGCGTAGTGTATACGCAATTTAGGCTGCCACAAATTTTTTCTTACAAAAACTTCAAATTT